GCATCAGGGTCTTTTCCAGAGAGTCCTCTCTTCGCATTAGGTGGCCAAAGTATCTGAGCTTTTACATATTAACCTGCCTTTTTTTTCTTTTCTTTGCTTAATATATGAGTGTGATAACAAGAATAAACAAAGACCGCAGTGATTACTTTCTCTTTTCCCATGGAAACAGCGACCGATTAATTAAGCGCCACTTCATATCCAAACTACCTGGTCTCTGGAAAATAGACAAGCTTCCAGTTGTGATTAAAGCATAAAATCCCTTGTCCTATCTTCCCTCATGGGTGGAGAAAAAGCAAAAAAGAAAAGAAAATGCAGCCCTGGAAGATTGTGACATCCTCTGGAGCCTTCATAAAAAGGGGATAAACAACTAACTGCACAGTTGAGGGAGAGATTGTTGAAATTACATGCATCAAAAGAAATCAGGCAATCTCTGAAGGGCTCAACAAACACAATAGGCTTTTAACACATGACAAAGGTGAGCTGATAAGGTACCTGTAATCTGTTTCACATGTAACCTGCCTCTGCATAACCAACCTGTCTTCCCCCGTTCCTCACCCACCCCAATTGAAATCCTACATCAGTCTAACCCCTCCATGCATTCGACAAATGCCCTGCAGCTCACAAAAACGTATTCCTTTTAATACAATTCGTTAGTCTGAAAAGGTGCTCCCAAATTCCTCCTGAATTTTGGCCACCATAGACCAACAGAGTTCTCCTCCTGCAATTCCATACAAAAGGAGTGGAGTAACGTTCAGAGGTTGCTTCCAAACTGGACTTCCAGTGCACAATTCAGGTTCAAAGAAGACTAGAATGATCAGAGGATGGGAACCAAGTACGGAGAGCCACAGAGAGGACCTTGGAGAAACTCTGCAGAAATGGTTACAAAGACAAAAGCATGCTTTAGGCTTGGGAAATCAAGAAAGCATGAGGAAGAGACTCAGATTGACTCCACCTTAACGCTCTTGGGTAGAAGAGGGAGGAAGGAAAAACACAGTCAGGCTTTCAGGATTCTGTTCCTGTAGCCCAGATTGATAGGGTAGAATTCCAAGCAAACTTGTAGAGTCTGCTTCCTGACCTGGCCTACCTTGAAGGTGTGACACTAAGGCCCTTTCCCCATCTGTACCTAAAGGCGGCACAAGCATGCCTTGGCCTCATTTGTCCCGATGTGTCCACATTCCATGCCTTCATCTTGTCCCCACCCATGGGAAAGACAGGCTTTTTAGCTGTTTCCCCCTAATCCCAACCCCTTCCATCTCTGTTGCAGCGCCTGCCTAGGGAACAGCATCCTCCCCAAGGTTCAAATGGCCCCGACCCTGTTGGCCTTCCATAAAGCCTTGAAAACAGGCACCGGACCCATTTTTTTAAAATTTAGGAATGATGGGGGTGGCCTTGAATGTATTATGTTCTTATTTTTTAAAATTATTTCTTAGTCACTCAGAGTAGCAATTCTGAAAGCTGGGCAGCCGTATAAATTGATTAGACAAACACATCTAAGGCGTCCTATTGCTGTGGTGGGAAGTCAGGTCACTGACCAGGATTGGGGATGGAGGCAATGGAAGGAAGAGAGGAATTGGTAATGGGGGGCAAGTAGGTTTTCAGCTGATTCCATGATGGATGGATAGCAGCTGAACAGCAGTAAAGAAGGATTATAAGTGTTTTGAAGAGAGACTGATAGAGCTTGTGGAAAGATGACTGAGTAGGAGGCATGACAGTACTTTTCAAGTACCTGAAAGGAAGTCACACAGAAGATGACTTGTCCCAGGCTGCTGGAGGTGGGAAAATGGACAAAAATTACAGGGAAGCAGATTTCAGTTAGGAAAATTAGGAAAAACCTGGCCATGGCAGTCCAACAATGGGACCATGGCCAATAGGTGGTGGGCTCTCCTTAATTTGATTCCATCAAGTTGAAGCTGGACAGCTATCTCCGGGCAGGCTTTAACTTGGATTTTTGCACAATGTAAGAGTCCATGGGCTCAAGCTAAAGAGGTTCGGAGAAGAACAATCAAGATGATTGGAGAGTAGAAGATAAATCTTTTGAAGAGAGGTTGAAGGAGCTGGGCATGTTTAGCTTGGAGAACAGAAGACTGAGGGGAGAATACGATGGTACTCTTCAAATAAATACCTAAAAAGATGTCACATAGAAGGTCAAACCCTGACTTCTCTTTTTCCAAAGGGTGTTAAGTTACACAAAGTTAAATGGGGTTAAATTACATGAAGGTGGACTCCAACTGAATGTTTTTGTTTTAAAATTCCCGACAGTAAGAGCAGTTTGTCGGTGGATCCAGCAACCCAGAGAGTTGGGGGGCTCTCCTTTCCTGGAGGGGCTCAAGTGGACAGCCATCTCTTGGGGTGAATTTGATTCAGATTCCTGCACAAAGCTGGGGTGTAGGCTCCAAATGGTTCCTTCCAACATTGTGATCCTGAAAATTGTAGGATGCCTTTCTTTAGAGCAGAATTACAGAGCCTCTTAATGGCATTGTTATAATATGGTCAATCTCCATTTGGACAGGGTCAAAAGTTCCAGCTAATAGCAGTTTGCTGGGGTGGCTTGAACATCATCAGCAGTTTTCCTCACGACTCTCTCTCCTTAAACCAGTGTTACTCAATCTTGGCAACTTTAAGACATGTGGACTTCAACGTCATATCTTCAAAATCTGAACTAGAGGTCCCCCCATACCTCCAGAACAGATTTTTGAGAACCTCTTACAAGGGGTGGGTTGGGGGAAACTCAACAATAGATGTATTCACACACCACACTTGGGCTGGAGACAAAATTAACCTGTTCTCTGTGTTTTCACACTGTGCTGACACACTAACTCAGCAGAAAGGCTGGATTTACACAGCCTAGAAGCCACAAAAATCCTAGCCAAGGTTAAAACAAGCCAAGCTTAGCCAGTTGTGGGAATGCAATTGCAAAGTCTTCAAATGACCTGTTTAAGCTTTCTGGTGGGTAAATGATTATCACCTCATTTGAACCTGGATACTCCTTGTAGTGTTTGTGATTTTATAATCTGCAGTAAACCAGGAGTTTGTGTTTCCAGCAGGGGAAAAATATAATTAAACCCAACGGAGGGGGCTTATAATTTT